GCCCCACGTTGGGCGCCAATTTTGTTACAAGTCTAAAAGCGACAGGGGAAGAGTGAAGGGAGGGATATGACTCTTGAAGATGGCCTAAAGAAGAAATCCGACTTATAGCGAAAGCTCTGACTAGCCCACAAATTTTCGGTGAGTGGGGTGGATCTAAATAAAGGCGCCACCCGTTTTCAACCCTGCAGTAAGTCGGTTTCTGAACGAAAGATATTTCAAAACAGAAAACAGCCTATAGCATACAAAGAATCAAATCAACACCAAAGAAAGGAAGGTTTAAAGGCGATCATCTTTAATGAAATCCCCTAGGATTGGAGGAGTATTGATCGCACCGCAATCTGAAAAGAACTGAAAATTCTAAATGTCAAAAATCAGCTGTAAAGGGAAAATAAAAGAAAATCACTGAACATCAAATTGTATGGTTTTGTTTATCTTGCTTGATTCGCTCCGTTCAGAATTTAACAATGATGTTTATCAGTTTATTGAGAAAAAAAATTAAGGTATTTTGGCATAATTATTCACACCCCATATGTTCAGTATTAAAAATAACCTAAGATTTAAAATAAATTCAATCAAAAACGTTGCTTATCCTCGAAATAGGTCTATTTTCGCATTGATGTAAAATTCTTGAGTCTTCTTCAGTATTTGTCTGAGACCTTTAGTAGATCAGCTACTACATAATAACGCAAGCAAGATGGCGCCGACTGAAACGTCGTCTGATAGATATGAGCGAAAAAAAAGTGAAAAAACTAGTAAAATAACTTGTTTTCATTGCAAAAAACTCTCGGAAAATTTAGTAAAGTGCGTGAAGTGTGCGAAAACGTTCCATCCATCGTGCTTAAAACAAGCTGCGACTAAAAAATCCGTAGTTTGTGTTCATCAAACGGCAGCCATAGCGCTCGTAGACGTAGCCGAAGAATTAGAAGCCCGAAAGGAAGATGAAATATCCACCCTGAAGATGCATATCCAGAAGTAAGTGGAGTTAGAGGGAAAGTATAGAATTTTAGAAAAATCTAACGCCATGCTACAGGAAAAAGTGAATTTGCTGTGGGAAAACATGGAAAAAAACAACCTTAAAAAAAGTAAACAATCAACTTCCCGCCTGGTCTCACCAGCCCCACCACTGGTACCTGTCATTGTCCCTGCTAAACGATCTCAGACTGTACAAAATGGTACGTTGGTGGGCCACAACATAGATGGAGCTGGGATAGATAAACCTGCAAACCAGGAAGTATCAATCACAAAACGGAACACGCCAAAACCGAATGTCAATGTCGGAGCAGTCACTGCAACTGACATCAATGTCAGCGTCAGCGGAGATGGGGATGTTTTTGTTGTGGAAAATGAAATAATAAACAAAGATAAAGAAGAGTGGAAATTGATCCAGAGAAAAGCAAAACGACCGCAACCTACTCGACAAAACGTCACTCAACTATCAATGGCAAATTTTGCCAGATTGGCCTAGATTTTTCTATCTAGTTTCAACCCTGAGACCGCAGCAGAAAACATAACTCAATTTTTAACGGACAATGGCTTTCATGGTTGTTCATGCTATAAGATGCGCACAAGACATGATAAATCTAAGAGCTCATTCAAACTGTCTGTTCCAGTTAGAGATTGAAGTTTACCGGTAATTTTTATTTGTTCTTTCTTGGTGGTAATTTACCGGTAATTTTGCGGTTATTTTGGTAATTTTGGAAATATTTTATGATTCGTGAAAGAAACAATTATGACTATATACTATACCTATACGTTCAAGGATTATAGATTTTCAGGTTTTTTTTACCTAAACACCCATTTATTATAATATTGTTTGTTGTAAAACATAACCTCATACATAGAAATACTACAATATTTAAACAAATAAACGAAAAACGAGCAAAGAAAATCAGACAAAAATAAAATAGAAATAAATTCTCCTAATCTGGTGCTAAACTATAGTATTTGTAATACCCATTTAGAATAACCTCATCCTTATTTATCAATCACGAATCAGATGAAACAAAAAATTACCAACAAAAACGAACGTCGATTGCTAATACGTCAATTTCATCTACAAATAGGAAATTCCTAACTTAATTTTATTTGTGTGTCGAGAAGCGACATACGTTTTGTCACTAAAACGACAGGTACTTTTAAATAGGTATTAAAAATACATAAATACTTAGTAAAGTAAATACCTACTTTTAAAGGGCAAAAAGAAAACAAATAAATAAAATGAGCTGAGTAAGGATAGCATAAGAGATTTTTTTAGAGGTTTTTGAAAATTTCTATTGGTTTTTTTGGGTTTTTGCGAGAGTTGTGCTTCTGTAGGGTTTTTGTGTTCTAAGATCTTTGACATTCCAAGTAATAATCTCTAACTCAGAACTCAACAAAAACCCACCGGGTTTTTGAAATAGGTCTTTCCTACGAGCACAATGTTTTAATTCAAAATATAGGTACTACTTATTTTTTACTTCAAATCAAATTACTATCTATAGGTACTATTTTCCATTGAGAAGATTTAGATGTTACACAGATTTTTTCATCAATTTTTGATAAATTAGATGAACAAAAATACTTGTGGAAAAACATTACACCTAACTTCTGCTCTAAATGTCTTTTCCACCCTTGACAGCTTACCAACTGCCGTCGCGTAGGGAAAAGCACCACTTTCCGCACTTGTTAGGTAAATAACTATTCGTTAATGCCAACCCTGAAAGCGCGTTACAAATTCACAACAAGATGGCGAATGATGCATGATTGCACAGGATCTCACTAGCAAGATTGGTCCGAGCGAGCTTGGTCCTTGATTTCTCTACCTAATATTTTCAACTTTTCTCCTGTATCCTGCAGTGAAGTTAGAGATATCATAAACAACATTAAAAATAAGGCCAGCGGTGATATCTTTGGTTTGAGCATCAAATTCATTAAGAATAATATTATCATTCCTCTAACCAGATTAATTAAATCCTGTTTTCGCCAAAATGTTTTTCCTGATATTCTGAAGAAAGCTTTTGTCGTACCTGTCTTTAAAAAGGGTGACAAAAATGAAGCCAAAAATTACAAGCCCATCTCACTTCTGCCGGTATTGTCTAAGATTGTGGAAAGATGCATGGCTTTGAGGTTGGTGAAGTTCTTCGAGGAGAACCGATGCTTTACTGAATGCCAGTTTGGTTTTCGAGCGGGCAGATGTATTACATTGAGTATATTGAATCTCATTGCCGATATTCTGAATTCTTTTGACAGTCTCCAATTTAGTGCTGTGCTTTTCTGTGATTTAAGTAAGGCATTTAACTGTGTTTCCCATGAAATCTTGCTGAGCAAGCTAGTACACTATAATTTTGGTACAGACAGTATTAATAAATTATTATCTGGAAAACAGATCCCAAACTGTCAAGGTGGATGGGGTGTGTTCTGCGGAAAGGGTTGTAAATATAGGTGTGCTCCAAGGGTCTGTCCTGGGGCCGATCCTATTTTTATTCTTTGTAAATGATCTCCCCTTTAACAGTGATCAAGAAAAATGCACCTTTTTTGCGGATGACACCACAGTCTCCATGTCAGCGGGATCGGTTGATCAGGCAGTCTTACAGCTTGAAGCCACTTAGGGTAAAGTAAGGGACTGGTTTAATGCTAATAAGCTGCTCCTGAATAAAGACAAAACAGAGAGATTGATTTTCTCCCTCAGAGACTCTAGAAGTAATAATGAAAAAGAGAAGATCGTTCGATTTCTTGGAGTGTTCACCCCACTCTCAGAAGGCATGCGCAAATTGATCAAGTTTCAACAAAGCTTAGCAGGGCTCTCTTTGTCCTTCGTAATCTCTCCCAGAGTGTCTCAGATAATGTTCTGAAAACTTCGTACCATGCTATATTTCACTCTGTTATGACATATGGTATTTTGGTTTGGGGTCACTCCCCCCTTGTGGCCAGACTTTTTAGACTTCAGAGAAAAGCTATCCGAATCTTGGCTGGATTGGGCTTCAGAAAGGACTGTAGACAGGCCTTTGGGAGTTTAAATATACTTACTTTACCATCTCACTACATACTTGAAAATCTGTTGTATGTGAAATACAATGAGTATAAATTCGGGGTGCATAGTGGAGTCCACAGCTATGACACAAGACAGAAAAATTTGATCATCCCAGTTTATCATAGGTTGAAAAGGTGTCAGGACGGTCCGGGCTAGCTATCTGTCAATTAAATTCTATAACATGCTTCCGAATTCCATGAAGAGCTTAGAACGGGGCAAATTCAAGAGTAGGATTAAGCAACTTTTGTGTTCAAATTGTTTTTACTCGTTTTTGAAGAGTTCCTTAAGTTTTAGACGTGTCCTTTTGACAACAAACTTTGCTGTGATTTGTATTCTACTGTATATTTTAATTGTATTTCAACTGTACTGTTTCTAAAGTAAGCTTGTAAATGTCGGATCTTTACAATATTTTTTTTAAGTTTTGAGGTTTCAATTTACAACTACAGACTGTGTATAAATTGTATAATTTTACTACCTTTTTTTATGACGAATGTAAGTACTTATGAATAATAGCACGAATAAATTGAGTATTGAGTATTGAGTACTTTCCGTTTCTGAAGACTATACTGTATGTCTCAGCAAGAGTTGGTTCTTACTGATGATGTGGATCCAATGACATACTGACACAGACATTACAGTAGACAAAATTTTGTGACGCCAACATCTGGTGAACAAACAAAGGAAATATAGTCCAAAGATCTATAAAATGTATAAATTCAATTTAAATATAGAGCCAATGTTTGCAAACTTATCAGACGAATTAAAGTTAATAATCAAATCGTGACTAATTAACCGAACGAAAACCGATGTTTACAGCGCGTAAATTTCCCAATACTGATCGCTCGCAGTAAAACCCACCATAGCTCTGCTGCTGGAAAATGGTACACTATATATCTGAAAATAAATCTGTGTAAATTTAGATTTTCAGATCTCAAAAGATTTCGTATGTTTATGTTGAGTTCTCTGGAAGTGTTTTCAGTCGAAATTTTTACGCGAGATCGGTACCACTACTACTGACCAGTACTTACTTGTCCGTCTTTTTTGAATTTATATTTAAAAAGAATTTAAAGTTAATTCCTTTAGAGGTTATGCGTAATCGTAAAAAGTGTCGGAGGTGTGGTAATCGAGATGCGATAATAAAGTAAACTATTAGGTTAGTAATGATAATTATTTTTGGATTCTCTCAATTTATAACATTTGACTCTTAAGATTAACGGAACAACATTAGTGTCGGAGGTGTGGTAATCGAGATGCGATAATAAAGTAAACTATTAGGTTAGTAATGATAATTATTTTTGGATTCTCTCAATTTATAACATTTGACTCTTAAGATTAACGGAACAACATTAATATGTAGGCCCCAGATCCAGGATAAAATTAAAGAGAAAAGAGGGAACTTTTATTACTGCTATTTATGAAAGTGACACAGGTTCTAACCTTTTTACCCCCAAAGGCATGAATAAAATATAACTCCCATATAAACGGAATGGTATTTTTCTTACGAGCTAAATGGCATTTTGGGGAGTCTTTCAGACTTTTGACACCCTTTTCTTCAGATTATCAGATTTCTTTTTCTTCTGTCGAGGATTCATTATTTTTTACGTTTATTGTCAGATAATTAAGAAACGAAATAAAAAAATTCTATATCAAATGGCACGTTTGCGTCACAAGCTTACGGAAACAATTATTCAAGATTTCACGGTTTGCCTTTACTTTATCCATTAAAAGTTGGTTTAATAGCTAATAAAATTTCCAGTTAAAATACTTGTTCCAAATCATAATGCCATAGCAAATTAGAAATATAAAATGCGGAATTACTTCTGGCATGAGCGAAAATTCCTGCTTCCTGGTAAAAATGTTCTACACACAGTCAAATTTTCTCAATTACATCAAAACATGACAATTTTGAATAATTATAGGCAGCTGTTTTTAGCTAGAAATATTAAAATTTTCCTATATGTAAAATCTAATTTATAAAACATTTACAGTCCACTGTAAAGAAACTTAAATTCTTAAGAATTTATAATAGAAAAATATGAGGAAAACATGGAATTTAATCTTTAGTTCAAACTGACATTTTCTGAAATTGCTATACAGTAGAGCTATATCATATGGATAATCAACAAAAATGTTCCTATTTCTACTTTTTTCAACATTCCAATAATAACTTTCATAAGTATGCAGAATCTCGCAATTTGTATCGTTTCGAATATTTTCGAAACAATTTCATGCATTTCAAAACTTATTAGAAAAATATTGGTTTTCCAGTTAATTTAACTACGTGTTATTGTTTCAAACTAATCGATCTTTTTGAGCGGCGGATTAAAAACATCGCATTTTAACAGTGATTAAACAGAAATACTATAAACACCTCCGTCTTAATGTTAAATAAACGTTTAATACGCGATGTGTTTAGTTTGGGGTTTTGATACAAAGAAATTAAAAAAACAGAAGGCAATTTCCAATAATTATTACCTTTTTTTTTAGTACTATTGGCACCTCTGCTGCATAAAATTTTCCCTGAATGAATTCTATGCACTCTCGATCATTTTCCAAAATCAATTGACCACCCACACGACATCGTAATCAATTTTATGAAGATCCTAATGGCAGATGTTAAAAATCAATCTCTTGTTTATGAATGAGTGCATAAAGTCATGCAAATTATATATCAAGGAGTGATTAACTGGTCAAAATCCGTGTACAAGTTGGCTAAAATCACAGAAAATCTCATAAGATCTACTCAAAATCCCTAAAAATCTAGAAAATCCTTAAAAATTTAACAAAACCCCACAAAATCTCTTGAAATTGAATAAAATCCTACAAAATTTAAAAAAATTTCATTAAAACCAAAAATATCTTGCAAAATCTCATAAAATCGTTAACATTCCTAAAAAATATTTCCTTTGAAATTCCAAAAATCCTTTGAAATCCCCAAAAATCTGTTAAAGTCTCTCAGAATTCCATAATTTAGTGGAGTTTCGAGAAATTTGGGTAGAATTGTTTTCTGAAAAAGGAATTACATGTGAAACTTTTGCGGAGTTTCCATAGAATTCACATTAAATTTTAGTTCCTCTCAATTACATGGAATTTCAGTAAAATTTTGATCGAATTACACCAAATCCAGAAAATTCCACAAGTGGAATGCCGAGGAATTTCCGGCTAAAAACATTTTTTCGGTAATATTCCGAAAAACTCCCATGTATATTTTGGTGAATTTTCAAGCAATAACTTAAAGTTTCATTAATATTCCCAGAAATTCCTGGCTATTAAAAGAGAATTTCAGTGAAATTCCGAAATATTCCTATGAAAATAAATGAAATTTTGAAAAATTCCAAGTTTCATTGCACTTTCGAGAAATCTTCGGCTATGAACGTGGAATTTCAAAATATTCTCATAAACTTTTAGTGAATTCCGAGGAATTTTCAAGAAATTACATGAAACGTCAATGAAATTCCCGAGGAAATTCCGAAGAATTTTATGGAAATTTTGTGGAATTCCTAGATATTTCAGTGGTGAAATTTTGGGGAATTTCAGTAAAGTTATAAAAAAAAATTATGGAACTTTTATGGAATTTTGAAATTGAAATTTTAGTGGAGTTCCGAGGAATTTCATGAAATCGTATACTGTAATTCCGAAAAAAAATTGTCTAAAAATTCCATAAAATCTTCTGGCGAAATGTTAAGGAATTTCTAAGGAATTTCCTAAAAATTTCGCGGAATTCCTTGAAATTTTAGTGGAATTCCGAAGAATTTCATGAAATTTCATAGTGTAATTTCGAGGAATTTTTGTTCAAGAATTCTATTGAATTTTATTGTGGAATTCCATGAAATCCTATGATGAAATTTGGAAAAATATTATAAAATCTTTTAGTGAAATTTTTAGAAATTTCCGTTTTCTCATTCAAATTTACGATTTGAATGGAATTTCGAGAAATTCTATAAAATCTTCTGGTGAAATTCTAAGAAATCTCTATGAAATTAATTAAAATTTTCACGGAATTTCCATAGAATAACTTGAAATTTTAATGGAATTCCGAAGAATTTCATGAAATTTTGTGCAAGAATTCCATTAAATTTTATGGTGGAATTCCATAGAATCTTATGATGAAATTCGGAAAAGTATTATGAAATCTTATAGTTAAATTTCTAGGAATTTACGTTTTTCAATTCAAATTTATCACATGAATGGAATTTCGAAGAATTTCATAAAATCTTCTGGTGAAATTCTAAGGAATTTCCGAGGGAATTTCTATGGAATTGACTAAAATTTCCGCGAAATTCCCATGGAATAACTTGAAATTTTACTGAAATTCCAAAGAATTTCATGAAATCTTATATTGTAATTCCGAAGAAAAAAAAATCCAAGAATTCCATTGAATTTTATGGTGTGAAATGTGACATGTGAATTCCCAACATGAAATTTCAGTGCTCGTTGAATTACATAAAGAATTTATAAAAAGTTTCAAAAAATTACATCGAATTCGAATTACGTCGAATTATATACAGAGCTCCAAAGCAATTGCATGAAATTCCAAGGAATTGTCAGGGAATTACATGAAATTTAAGTGGAATTTTGAACAACTCTTATCGTTTCATAAGGAATTCCAGTGAAATTCCAAAAAATCCTAATGTAATTAATTACATGAAGTTTTATTTTCATTCCTAGTTAAAAACATGGCATTTTAGTAAAATTGATATTCCGAAAAATTCCTATCGAATTACTGAATTTTAGTAAAATTAGAGAAAATTTCACAAGTGGAATTTCCAGTTAAAAACTTACAATTTTGGTGAATGTAAAAATTCCCATGTAATGATATGAAATTTCAATATATTTCGGAGGAATTTCGGTCAATTTTCAAGAAATTATTTGAAGTTTCATTAATATTCCCAGAAATTCCAAACTATTGAAAGCAAATTTCGGTGAAATTCCGAAAAATTCTTATGGAAATAAATGAAATTTTGAAAAAAAATTTGTAGTTTCATTGGAATTTCGAGAAATATTCGACTAATAACGTGGAATTCAGTGAAATTTCAAAAAATTCTCATAAAATTTTAGTGAAATTCCGAGGAATTTCTAAGAAATTATAGGAAATGTCAGTGAGATTTTATGAAAATTTTGTGGAATTCCAGGATATAGCAGTGGTGAAGTATTGGGAGTTTCAGTTTTAAAAAAATTATAGAATTTGGAATTTCTATAGAATTTTGTAGAATTTCAGTGGAATTTCGAAAAAAAAAAAAAAAACTATGAAATATTCGCAGAATTTCCATCAAATTATATGCATATAATTTTATTTTGTGTCGACTTACCTTCATGAAATTTCGATGAAATGTCGAGTGAAATTCCAAGAAATTCTCGTCGAATTACATCCATGGATTTCCTTGAAACCTTATTGTGGAATTCCAGTGAAATTACATGAAATCCGAAGAATTCCCTTGAAATTAAACAGAATTTCCGTGGAATTTCCATGGAACCACAAGAAATTTCGACAGAATTCCGAAGAATTGAATTAAATTTTAGTGAAATTCTGAGTAATTTTTGTCGAATTACATAAAATTTTAGTGGAATTTTGAGAAATTTCATGATATCTTTTACTGTAATTCCGAGGAATTTTTGTACAAGAATTCCATTGAATTTTAAGGTGGCATTCTATGGAATCTTATGGTGAAATTCGGAAAAGTATTATGAAATTCTTTAGTTAAATGTCTAGAAATTTCCGTTTTTGCATTTAAATTTGTCATTTGAATTTAGAATTTCTAAAAACTTTCCAAAAACCCCCAAAATGCTCCAGAATCACCTGGAATTTTGAAAATCTGAAATCTTCTGAACTCCTTTAAAATCGTGTAAAGATTTTCAAAATTCCCAAAATCCTACAAAATCAATTAAGATTTAAAATATGTGTTTATTTTTTTATAGAGTTAACTAAACCTCGGAGCGGTTGATTGGTCAAAATCTGTGTACAAGTCCAAAAAAACTTGTACACAGTGTACTTAAAATCCCTGAAACTCTTTAAAAATTTAACAAAACTTCACAAAATCCCTTTAAAATAACTTGAAATGGCATCAAATTTCACAAAATCACACAAAATTTTATTAGAACAAAAAAAAGCCGAGCAAATCTTATAAAATCATTAATATATGTATTCCTAAAAGAAAATTCCTTCCAAATTTCCGTTTCCACCAACTATTTTATGGGAGCTTCAACAATAAGTATTCCTTAAAATGACAGACTTTTATGGAGAAATGTCAGTTTAAAAAATACTCATCGTTAAGGCT